ACAAGTTACTAAGTACAGCCCACACTTAGAGAAAGAAGAATTAGACTATTTTTTGAAAGGAACTCCTCCAATGTAAGTTCTTTGCTATAAATTGCATTTTTCTATTGTTTATATTCAAAACAAAATATTTTTCACAGTTGCAATAGCTACTTACGTTATTGGATTCTCAGAATACACACATAAATCACTTTATTGGTTATGAAGAAAATGACTTTAGAAGCATAAATAGCTTTCTCCATATACAGAGAAGTTCAGTGTCCAATTCTAGACTTAGATCTAGAATTCTGATGTATAATTTCATGTGCAGTCAGATTACATCTAAATAATAATAGCAAAAACAGGGCTCTTTCACTGCACTGTAATTTACTTTTCCAACTTTTGGCTACTTACAAGATCACAAACATCTGGATTTAAATTGGAAACATCTCATAAAAAATCCAGATGTTTCCAAATATAGTTTTTTTTAAAGCTATCAAAAACCCCTTGGTGAATGAGTAACTATGCATGGCGAATGGTTATCCCATTAAAAATCTAACTCCCTGTCCCAATTTATGTTATTCTAGGTGGAAAGTTTCTAATGTAATCACATGTTAAATGAGGAGTTTGTACTGACTGCGGCAACAAGAAGTCAGAGAGGTCAGACAGCAAAGTGAGGTGAGAGACAGGACACCAAATTGGAAATTTTGAGAGAAACTCTCTTGAAAATTATTGCACAGATTCTGTGCCTCTCCTCTAATGCTCCTTACCTAGGCTGAGGTTAAGTCAGGGGGATTTTAGAGTGAGGCATTTGAATGTTAGAAAAGCAATCCCCACTCAAAGTCAGGGAAGAGCCTCCACACCAGATTGCTCAGAGTTGATAAATGACCTCTGTAGGCTGAAGGCACGAGGAACTGGTACTTGGCTCATGACTTATAAGGCTTTACCTATGAGAATCAGAAAACTCACAAAGCGTTCTTGAATTTTTACTAAGAGGCAGTAAAATCATTACTTCCACAGAACAGGTTTAGAGGGATAGTGGAAAATGAAAATAAAGAATAAAGATACTTTTATAACTACCCCGCATGCAGTCTCTATGTTTAACACATGGATCCACTAACATATATCACAGACATTGTCTGCCTTTTAAACAAAGTATGGTGAGTTATTAAGAAAAGGTTATTTTCAATGTTATCGTGACTAATGCAATAATGAAAAAAACCTTGGATTTGAATCCTGTATTTTCAAAGTAACTCAATACAATGATGTCCCCAAGGCTTATGGAGATCTATGGGGTTATTTACCCTGGACTCATAATTCTTACATGTGCGTTTCCAATTTCCTTGACATGTCATTTGGTTTCTATGTTTTCCATTGTCACTTTCAACAGTTTCTTTATGCTTCTCTATATTATCTCCTCTCTCTTCTTTTAACTGATGGTTGGGAGATAAACTTGTTGGAATTGTGAGTAAAATAAGAATAAAAAGTACCATGATCTTTATTTATTAACTGCTTGCTAACCAATATTCTACATACAGAAAGGTGCTGGATAACTGACTTATAGATGAGGGGATTCTGATTTGATGGATATATTAGGTAAAAATAAAAAAACAGAGGTATGTACACACTAGGTATCATTGATAGAAAGTATTTGATGAGCAATTTTGGCTTCATTTTTAATAGGATTTTTCTTTATGTACTTTTAAATTAGTTAATTAAATTAGCTAGTACCTCGTGACTACCTAGTATGTGCCAGATGCTAAGCTGGTATCCATTAATGCTGCATTGGATTAAATTATTTAGTCAACTGCTTCTATTTGAGTTCCTGAGCTCAATCCTAAATGTGCTCTGTAACTCGGACCAAGAAATGGATTTTTCCATGTCTTTTGAGAATGGCAAATCTCTTATGCCACTTAAGAAGATGAAGAGACAACACATTTAACACCAGATGGGGAATGAAATCTAACCCAACAAATGGCAGAGGATTTGCTGTGAGGCCTGACAGCAATAAAACTCACACTTTACTTTTATATGATGCTTTAATTTTCCAGATTTCTTTAATAGCAGTCCTTGCATTTTACTTTCACAACAGCTTTCTGAAAGATAAGAAAACTCTGAATTATCTTGCAAGTGAGCCTAGATGGTCTAATTGCCCAGAGCCAGTTACCAAGCCAGGGCTAAAGTTCCATCTTTATTCTATGAAATCCAGTGTTTTCTCTCTTAAATCAGGGCTCCAGCCTGCACTTTCGGGGCTTAATTTCTGCTGGCTTAGTATTTATCCAGCTGATTTTGATGTCATGCAGATCACATATTTAGAGCTATAACTGGACATCCTTATAGCCGAGTGGTTTGTCCAGAGCTCGAAATGTACCATCAGTGCCTGTGTTTGGGAACCTATATATTTCTGACCTCTGCCCTACTTAATAAAAGAGTTGAGTTACCAGAAACAGAGCTGAAGGCCAAGAGCGGTTTTTGTGCATTGAGCCCTTGGCATTGGTTCCTGGCAGCAAGCCTCTTTCATGCAGCAGGAAGCTGAAGGAAAGTCCTCCTGCCCAGGGCTAGATGCTTTGGAAGAAGTCACTCCTCACCACCAGGTCAGTGCAGAGGCTTCTGCTCCTCAGCAGGAAGGGAACAAGGAAGGACTGAGGGTGGTGAAGGTCCAGGGTGTCCTAATTGTGATTGACTTCGAAGTCCTGCTTCCACTGCGGAGCGAAGCTACAAGAGGAAAGAGAAATTGCCTACCCTGCTGACACTCCCCATTTCCAGAAGCTCAGCTTCTACCTATGGAGATGTCAGGCTCCCTTTTCTGATCAGCACGGGGGAAGTCAGTGATGAGCAATCCATTGAGGCTGAAACACACAATCAGGGTTTGCAGCCAACTCCAGCATTTTTCCCTCATTGCACATATTGTGTTGGGACAATGGTCTGATCAAATGTTTTCTAATTTCATTGTGGACTTCCTCTCTGTAATGAGTCCCTCTCTCCAGCTCTAAATAAAGAAGATGCTAAAAACGTGACACACACTACAGCTGGGTCACCCACATCTGGGCTTTTTATCTTAAAGATGGGGTGGGGGCGGGGAGGATGGTTAAGCAAGACGTGGCTGGCTTTTCTTATCAAAGAGGTGAGTGGGGAAATGGGGGTAGACAGATCAGGGAATGAGGCTGCATCATCCAGCATTGTTACTGAATGACAGACATATCCTCTGGGACTAATTATAATAACGATCCCAGTCCATAACTTACTCAGAGCTTGAGGGTCCTTCTGTATGCCACATTCTCAAATGTGGGCACCTGGATTGCACCTATGAAGTTGGCATTTACCAAAGAAACCCACGTGCAGATGGATATTTGCATGTGAAAACCAGATAATTGTGTGTGTGTGAGCAAGAGAGTTTCTGCACACAATTACCAGCCTCTCCTCAAGATGTTGGAAGCAGTTTCTGGTCCTTTGGGAAACTGGGCTACAATTTGCTGGTGCAGATTGGAGTTTGGGGCTTATGTGAAACATGTTCCCAGGTTTTAGAGAAGTAACTGTGATGAGTTGTGATGGATGTATTGACATCTACGATGCGCTCAGCAGGGCAACATGGTATGTAAGAGCGCAGACTGTGCCATCAGATGGACCTGGATTCTGATTCCAGCTCCACTACAGCTCTCACTAAGGCAACATGCAGGAGAAAGTGTAGTTTCTTTGAGAAGCTAGAAATAACTGCATATGTTTGAGCATTGGGTCTGTGTGGCATTGTAGCAGAATCATGTAGGTCTCTGTATTAGTCAGGGTTCTCTATAGGGGGACAGAGCCAATAGGATAGATGTATGTATGAGGGGGAGTTTCTTATTTTATTGTTATTATTATTTGCGACAGAGTCTTGCTATGTTGCCAGGTGCCAGGCTGGAGTGCAGTGGTGTAATCTTGGCTCACTGCAACCTCCGCCTCCCAGGTTCAAACAATTCTCCTGCCTCAGCCTCCTGAGTAACTGGGACTACTGGTGTGCACAACCACACCCACCTAATTTTTGTATTTTTTTAGTAGAGATGGGGTTTCACCATGGTCTCGATCTCTTGATCTCGTGATCCAGCTGCCTCGGCCTCCCGAAGTGCTGGGATTACAGGCATGAGCCACCGTGCCTGGTCAAGGGGGAGTTTATTAAGGAGCATTTACTCACAAGATCACAAGGTGAAGTCCCGCTGTAGGCTGTCTGCAAGCTGAAGATCAAGGAAGCCAGTCAGAGTCTCAAAACCTCAAAAGTAAGGAAGCCAACAGCACTGCCTTCAGTCTGTGGCCAAAGTCCTGAGAGCCCCTGGCCAACCACTGGTATAGGTCCAAGAGTCCAAAAGCTGAAGAACTTGGAGTGTGATGTTCGAAGGCAGGAAGCATCCAGCACAGGAGAAAGATGAAGGCCAGAAGACTCAGGAAGTCAGCTCTTCCAACTCCTACCTGCTTTGTTCTATCCAAGCCGGCAGCTGATTAAATGACAACCACCCAGTCTGAGGGTGGGTCTGCCTCCCCCGTTTCACTGACTCAAATGTTAATCTCCTTTGGTGATACCCTCACAGGCACACCCAGTAACAATACTTTGCATCCTTCAATCCAATCAAGTTGATGCTCAATGTTAATCATCACAGTCTCCAAGGGAACAGAGTGAAGTTAAATCTTTGGCAGAACAGGATTTGAACCAAGACTGTCCCTTTTAACTGTTCTGCACTTAACAACCATCTTCCATGGGTGCTTAGTGAGCACTTGGTGAATAATGGGACCTGAAGCACAAAGATGTTCATCCTTCTGCATAAGAGGTTTTTTTTTTTCTTCTGTTTGTGAGCCATGCTGGGTCCTGTGAAGAAGGAATCTTCAAGCCCAGTTTTAGAGACCCATGTAATTTCCCCAGCCAGTGCTTCCTGTGGTCAGTATTGAGGATCACAAAAGACAAGATGCCAGAAGCAATTTGTCAGTTTTCTACCCCTGACTCTACTGTGTCTTTGGCTGAATCCTCTGCCTAGAGTGAACAGCATCTTTCTCTCTTTCTCTTCTACTCTTGTTCAAGCTTAGATGAAGGTGTGCCTCTTCTTGGAAAAACACACCCATGAGATTGGCACTAATCTTATCCCCATTAGATGGATGAGGAAACTGAGTTACAGAGCGATTAAGTGACCAATCCAATGTCGTAGAGTCATAGAGCCAACAAGTAGTAGAGCCAGCATTTGAATACTGGCAGATTGGTTCCAAAACCAATTATTGGCTCCTAACCATTATTCTACCACGCGGTTGCTCAATTAGAATAGTCATGTGTGTGTGTGTGTGTGTGTGTGTGTGTGTGTGTGTGTGTGTGTGTTTTAAAGGCTCTAAGGCTCCTTGCAGTCCTAGAGCCTATTGTGGAGTTAGACCCTCAGTATATATAGTAAGTGAATTTTCAGTGAAGAAGAAGATGAGGAGTTGATTTTGGCCTTGGACAGGTTACCAAGTATTCTTGGGCTTAAGGCACATTTTGGTAGTTTTCTAACTTTGCCAGCAGAATACAGTTAACAACTGGGAGGAGTGGGCCTTGATGTCATTTTTATGCTACCAACTGGCTTTGGGTGCACCAGCTAAAAGCAGTTTCTCACTGGAGGAGCTGCAAGAACCTGGGGGAAAGTGGCACTGTTTGTGCTGTCACGTAAGTCATGTTGCAGAGCCACATGTTCTGTTGCCAGTTTTGAAGGAACGCCATAATGTGTTTTCTGTTGCAGCTCTGGGGCTTCTCCTAAACTCCTACTCTAATCCTCAAGGTCTCTTTTTTCCCTTCTGCAACAGGCTCTAGGAAATCAACACACTTCCCTCTCCTTCAGAAGCTGCCACTGTCCTTTGGGGTTGGTTTCCTTACTACTGTTAGATACAGTAAACTCCAAGTTTCTCTTCAAAGAGTCAGTATGTCAGTATGCTCAGCTCTCTTATTCTTTAATTCTCCATTTTAAAGTTTAACTTCCTTGTGGTTTCAGTAAACAACCTTTTCCACCAGTTCTAATTAGTGGTTCACATCTGTTCCCCCGGTCCCCTGCTCCGTCCTGACTCATCCTGGTCACCTGCTGTGGTCACCTGCTCTGGTCACCTGCTTTGACCTGAGTTACCCTTGGTTACCTGCTCTGACCTGTCCCATAACTGTCCTTCCTGCTAAACTACCCACACTGCCACTCCAGCTCATACCCCTGCTCTCTTTAAAATATCCAATTGGAATTAGCTTAGACTTTGCAGTCTAACCCTAGCCCATACGGGAATGACACAGCAGTAGGGACTACCTCCATCAGGAATAAGAGCTCCTTCCCCTCCCTTGTCCAGGTGTGCTTTCACCATTGCTCCATCAGTGTGACGCACCCTTCTATAGATGTAAATTGCCTTGCTGAGAGAATTTATATTCAAATGCTACTTCTTTTGTGGCACTAAAAATTTTGCATATAACACTACCCCCCAAAGATGAACACAAAAGACCTTTTTTGTCTTTAAGGCTTTCACTGCTAATTGCAAAGGGAAAACAGAGCATTGCACAAATGATAATGATGGAGAAGCAGTAGACGGTCCAGCATCTTACAAAGTCCTTATTGTCTGGATCCTTTGTAGTTAAATTCCTTCTGTAATTACGAAGGAAAGCCTCAAAGATCTTGTGCCCTCTTCTGAAGGTGGAACTCACTGAGTCTTCCCATTGTTTTCTGGTTTCTTTTTTAGTGAGGTCCCAGGAATCATTTTCTTCATGTGACTACTCTTCCCAACCTCAACATGCAGTCTTTGGGCATCCAGTAGGTGTTTGACTTCTCTAAAGACTTCCAGAGTGGGTTACTCTGGCTGGTTCAATGCACTGCTGTCTCTCTGGGTCTTTTCCTGCACTCACTAAGGTCCCCAAAGGCAGGAACTATTTATTCTCTGTTCTTCTGTGTCCCCCCTCTTGGTGATGGGTTTATGGCCCAAAGCCTGAGCTTATTGTCTACACAAGCAATGTAGAAATAGTTTATGGTTTGACTTGGGACTTTGTCCCTGAAAGTAATTCTCTGATGGTAAATTTGTACTTTTATCCTTATCATGAATCAAAGGGCCTTCAGGGGGATGTAATTTTTATTTAAAACCATTTAGTAGATGTAAGCAAATACAAGAATAGGAGAGTGGGTTGAGCCAGTCTGCTTGGGTGAATGCTTGGAAATTGCTTGCTAGGATAAGCTGTCTTGAGTAATAAAATAAAGACTCCCCGGAATCAAATAGATGTGAAGGTAGGTACAAGAAGAGGATGTACAAGTGTTCTTAGAGACAGATGTGGAGGTGCAAGAAAAGGACGTGCAAATGTTCTTACTGTGCTTATACCATTTAATGTACTTCGATGATTTGGTGCCAGAAAAGCAAGAGACACAGCTGTGAAGAGGCAACGAAGGAGAAAGTAGGGTCGGAGGACTTGGGGAAGGGACAGCCAGACCTGAGACGCAAGGCTTAGAGACCAGACATCATACTTGTGCTGAGAAAGGCAGCATTTGGTGAGGCAAGGGAGCAGGGAATGGCTTCACTAAAGTATGACCAGAGATTGAAAGCATGTCAAGAGAAAGCCAAGAGCCATGTGAAGCAAATAAGGAAGATCATCCCCAAGATCTGCTCTCCCTTCAGTCTGGGTGGCCTTTTCCTGTTCTCCTGTCTGCGCTTTCTCAGGCAGTTGTGAATGATGAGGCCACCCAACAGAAATGATAAGCCCTCAAAACCTCCGTATTGTTACGCTCTTTTTCCAGCTAAGCAATTTCTTCCTCATGTGGGGCAGAGGGTTGGAGCAGCGGTTCCCAGCAGACCACCATGAGCTTCTCATGGGAGAAGCTGCCCTGAAAAGATACACGATTTAGAGCAGATGATGATAATCATTATCATCATTCTGGCAAACTTAGAGGAGCATGCATATAAAATACTAAAATCTTATGGTGCTGGCGATTCATTTTATGGGAATCTGGCATTGATTCAGAAGACAGTACATCTACCCTGAGACTGTTGTAGTTTCAGCAACTCAAATTCCATGCCCACTTTAAGACAGTATGTCAAGACTATAGTGAGTGGAATAATAATAAAAGTGATTGTCGTTTGAATGGGAATTTCTTACAGCAGTCTGATTAGCAGAGGGTCTTTATTCAAGGACGTGCGTTAACATCATCTGTTGTACGAATGATTGTACTAATGCCATCTGTTAGTGCAGGAATCGCTTTGTAGATTTGTCATCGTTACATTCCATGTCCGATGAGCGTGTGTAAAAACAGTTAAGTATTTCTCCAGTGTCTTTCTCCTTAAAGCGGCCCATATTTTAAGCTCATTCTTCTCTGCTTCACTTGCACGGGCATCTTCCCCATGCTCCTGGAGAAAGTCTGATGCGTGGTCTAACATCTCCTGCTCCTCTCCTTGGCCTATCACCTTTTCAGCGTGAAGACCCTATTCCTTATTTCAGGCACCTGATTAGTTGTCATGTTGCCGTGGACCTCACTACCTGTTTGGACGGATTATCCGGCTCTGATTGACTGTCACACGCTCCTCCCAGAAGACATCCGTCTAAGACGCCCTGTCCTTCATCTCAGCACACTTTCTCTTAATACTCTTCTTACAGAATCAAAGAGCTGGGAGTTTGCTTGTCTCTAAGCAAGATGGTCTCTGATCTTGGACCTTGTGCTTAGATCCAGGGAAGATGATTTTTTAAAAGTTGGTGATATGTGTATAATGTAAAAGTCAAATATAGCTCTTAGTGTTATTAAAAAGATTCAGTGCCACTCTGTACTCTCAGTTCCTAATCTCTCAAGGCAGTTTCCCTTCTTTCAGATGTTCCTTCTTCTGTATTTCATGATATGCTTATGGCTCTATACTCTGTTTTTCAGTGTTCTATACTACCTATTGACTATCTCCTATGAAAGAGAATTATTTGGCATCTCACTCTCTACTCGCCACACTTTCTTTCTCTCTCCCATTCCTCCCTCCCTTCTCTCATTCTCTTGATTTAATTATGCATCAGATATCTATTACTGCATAGCAAATGATTCCAGAAGTTAGTGCCATAATATAAAAATCATTTCTTATCTATTCAGTAGGACGGGAATTTGGAGGTGATTTTATGAGCTTGTTCTGGCTCAAGGTCTCTCATAAAATTGTAGTCATCTGAGGACTTGACTGAAGCAGAAAGCTGTGATTTCAGGGCACCCACCTGGATAGCTTCCAGGTGTTGCTTGTTGGCTAAATGTCTCAGTTCTTCTGTGTTTGGCCCTTACTACAAGCTGTTTAGGCATCCTCAGACATGACAAGTGGCTTTCCCAAGAGTTAGTGACCCAAGAAAGTGCAAGGCAAAAGCTCTGATGTCTCGCGTGGCCTAGCCTCAGATGTTTCACATCTTTCTTTCCACTATCTTCTGTCCCTTAATTATTTGGCATCTCGCTCTATTCGCCACACTTTCTCTTTCTTTCTCTCTCTCATTCCTTCCTCCCTTCTCTCATTCTCTTGATTTAATTATGTATCCAATATCTGTACCATCATTTTATCTTGGGAGTAAATGACTTGTTTTTGATCTCACAGGCTCATAGGTGGAAGGAACTCATCTCCAACTTTGGACTTTGGACTTGAAATGCAGAAATGGGTTAAGACTTTGGGGGATTATTGTGGAGGCATGATTGCCTTTTGAAATGTGAGAAGGACATAGGATTTGTGGGGCCAGGGATAGAACGAAATGGTTTGGATGTTTGTCCTCTCACAATTTCAGGTTGAAAGGTGATTCCCTTTCACAATTTCAGGTTGAAAGGTATTGGAGGTTGGATTATGGCACTGGATTCCTCATGAGTGGCTCAGCACCAACCCCTTGGTGATGAGTGAGTTCTTGCTCAGTTGGTTCATATGAGAGCTGGTTGTTTAACAAGCCCAGCTCCTCCTGCACTCTCTCTTGCTCCTGTTTTTGCCATGTCATACACTCGCTCCCCCTTCACCTCTAACCATAAATTGTAAACTTCCTGAGGCCTCACTAGAAGCTGAGCAGATGCTGGCACCATGTTTGTACAGCCCATAGAACCGTGAGCCAATTAAGCCTCATTTCTTTATAAATTACCCAGGTAATTACCAGGTATTTCTTTATAGCAATGCAAAAACAGACTAATACAGGGGCCATTATGCTGCCTGCCACAGCTATGTAAATAGAGCTTACTACGTGATATTATAGTACATGTTATAGGGAGTCATAATTATATTTCCTTTTTATACAACTTTTCATTTTCTTTGGACATAATAATTGCCTCTTTTTTCTATTTGCTCATGTTTTACATGTATCCATCATTAATTCATCCCTAAACCATCTGATAAAGCCAACAATCTTGTTCCTAAACATGCCAACTATTCTTTTAGCTCCACCTCTCTTTGCTTGGCACTATTCCTTAAGAGCGCTCTGTCTTTTCCAATCTGGGTTTTGCTTTTTTGGGGGACAGCAAACGCGTTTTCTTGTGGGTTCTCTTCACTGCCGTCCTGAGTTTTCTCTCTTCTGTTTGAGACTCTCCATTGTTCTTTACTCTCCCATTTTCCTGAGTCACGTCGAAGTCTTTCTCCCAGTTCCCCTGCTATCCTGGCCTCCTGTGAGATCTGCAATTTGAATACCTTGGCTTTGCCAGGATTCTTCAAGGAGAAGGATCTTGTATCTGTGGCTTTGTCTGCTGCAGGTTTAAATTTCGCCTTTCCCTGGTCTGCTAACTCAGCTGCAGTTCACCTCTCTAGCTCTCAGCTTTCGTTGATATCAATTGTGTACTGTCGTCTCCTCTCAAAGTCTCTTTGGCCACGTGGGCTTGAGCCACTTTTTATTTCTTGTTGATATTTTAGTGAGATGTCTGCAGGGAGAGGAGAAGAATGGGCGTGTGGACGCCTGTGTGCCGGCAGCTGATTACTTGGCTTCCACACTTGGTTCAGCTCTTCCACTGAAGGAATTGGGATTGTTTATTTTCCCCACAGATATTTTTGAACTGTTCTAAAATGGAAGCTATTGCACTAACTGCCACTACATTATTTATCTTGTCATGTAGTAGGGTATCTGCCAAGATGGCCAGACCCCATTGCTCTACTTTTTTAATAGAATAGATTCTTTTTTGCTTTGCTTTGAAGACTCTAAATTATTTTAATAGATTTATGTATTTTTTCTTTTTCTCTTGAATTAAGACAGAAATAATTTTTCCAATGACTCTGTTATCTCGGTTTCGTATTAAAAATCCTCAAACTTCACCTAGTGGTGACAGCAGGACAGTCTAAGGTGTATCATAGGAATGTCTCAGTCTCACTTGCCTGCTCATACAAATGAAACCATGGTTCTAAAAACATTCTTGCTGGCTGCAGACAACTACATTGTATCCAGGATTCTTTTCTCAGTGTCTTTTCTATGAATCCCTAGGGATATTCACATGTATCCGGAAATCAGTTCTGGTCATTCATGACTTCATGGCTGGCTAAGCCAGGACCACACAGTAGCCCCATGCTGGAAATTTCTACAGGGTTCACTCTGTAGTGAGAACATTGCTGGTACTGCTGGAGGTACTGTTTTTCATGAAAACAGGCTCCTCCTCTCTGAGGCAGAGGAACCAGGCATCTGTAGCCTCGGCATCAGTCACCCTTGCAGGTGACAGACAAGCTCCGGTGTTGGCTGCTTGGGAGTGGAGATTCTCAGGCCTTTCTGTGTTATGACCTCTTACCCTGGCATGGCTGAGCTTTGGCCTTTCAGCTCATACCCTAATAGAAGTATAGGGATGGGGCTCCCATCAAGCAGCAACCTCCAGTCACTTGCAGTAGATCTTTGTTAATCCATCCATGAGATATCTCCATGGTAAGAGGGAGAATATTCTCACCCAGCTTTACATTCCATCAGCAAAAGTTTCACAGTAAAGCTGCCTGAACCCACTGTAATCTGGCTCTATCAACTCACACGCTCTCACCGCAGCATCCTCCTGAAAACTTCCATCCTTTCCTGGGAGTTCTCTCTCTCATTCATTAGGCATTCTTCTGTATCCTAGAAACCTAAGGGGAATTAGAGTTCAATCCATCTTTTCCTCCATAAGTTCCTTAGTTCTTATGTGGATTTAAGTACAAATAGAGGCAGGAGAGAATCCGCCCCCCCACCCCTCTGTCCCGACTCCTCTGGCCAGCCATGTCTGCCGCAAAGTGCAACGGAATAGCTGGAGGGTAATTTTGCTTAAGGCAGTGATCTCCAAAGTGAGTTTCACAAGATGGTATGGGAAGGAAAAAGTATATCATTTCTATGTATTTTTTAAATTGCATTCTTTAAAAGCATTTGCATGCATGTTTTACTTGTGTGCATAAACGTACGATCTATGGTCAGACACGTTTTCCTAGTGGAACACAGTCTTATAACAGCAGGTAATCCGGCAGTGTCCGCAGGATGGACCCGTGGGACCGCAGACACCCGTAGTGTTTGTGTATTTGATAATGTCGCTTGAAGGCTCACTGTTGTCATGTTTTTGTGTGGATATCGTGACTGTTTACCCGTTTTTACTTATCATTAGGGTGACAAAGCTTTTTACTTTCCACTTGCAGGAAATTCACACAATATTTGCCTACCAAGGCTTTTAGGTTCATAAAGCAGCATTAAAATTTAAAACAAATAGCCTTGAACTTCTGGTATTACTACTGTTATTACCTAAATTTTGTCACCTGTGGTGAGATTAATTTTCAATCTTTTTTCAACTTGTGAACCTCCCTTTAGGTTTCTTTACAGTTGCTTATGTGGCTAATTGCTTTCAGCTACAGAAAGCCTAGATGTGTATGGATTTCTCTTTGAATTAGGCCTTCAAAAATTTGAAACCAAAAATGGACAAATGAATCTATTTACCACACCAAACTAAGCTGCATTTATTCCCATGAAGGTCTATTTAGGCATTGCTGGTAGACGTTGCTGACTTCCCAGACTTTGGGCCTGGCTTACCCAGATGGACTCATGTGAGGCCACGTTGAAGAAGGGTAGCAAATAACTCAACAGCATAAACACTGAGCTGCAATATTCGTGTGGCAAGAGGGCACGTGTGGCTCCACACGGGCAGGGTCTGACTTGCTAGTTGCGTAGTAGTAAGGTCGGTGACTCAGGTGCCAGAGAGGACTGCATTTGGGATTTATGCTATCTAGAAGTCATGTGTTTCATTCCTTACTCCATATCCACAGCCACCACCAGCCTCCAAGAGGACCCCTGGTGATCCCCACCTCCTAGTGTTCACACCTGTGTGGACTCCTCCCATGTTGGACCAGGGGGTGACCAATAAAATATGGCAAAAATGATTGCAAGCTACTCCCAAGATGAGGTTATAAAAGACACTGTGGCTTTTGTCTTGGTCCCTTTCCTTCTCTCTCTCTCGGATCATTTGATTCTGGGGAACTGAGACGCATGTCATGAGCAGCCCGTGGTAGACCCTATGCTGAGTACTGGGTGTACAGTGAGTGCACCATAATTGTGCCTGTGAATAGCCACTGCTCTCTAGCCTGCAACATAGCGAGACTCTGTCTCTAAAAAAAAATTTTTTTTTAAAGTTTAAACATTTTACAAGTAGAGCAAAAGGAGACATTGACAAAAGAAATAATGTGGCAAACTTGGTAAGCAGAAGAATCTGAAATTCAACTAGAAGAAGGGATAGAATTCGTATTTATTTTCTGAGGCCATACTTAGCTCCAACGAGAATTGCTAAGAGTAGAAAGATACCTGCTGAAGGGGTGATATTCTCTAGCGGAGATAGCTGCTGGAGGGGTGAGATTCTCTAGCGGAGATAGCTGCTGGAGGAGTGAGTTGTTTTACTATCAAATCCTTTAATCATCTCTTCATCCAATAATTTGTATTGAGTGTCTCTTATGTGTTAATTACTGGGAAAGTCAGACGTAGTCCTAACCTTCATAAAGCTTATAATGTACAGAGAGAGACAGATACTAATTATACAAAGATAATTAAACTGCTATTATAAATTATACTTAAATAAAAAGTTTCCTTAAATACTGGATATGCAGAGATAAGATACATTCCTGTTTTAAAAAATTACTCAGTTTTCAGAGGAGACAGTAATGTTTTCAAGCAATGCAGTGCATCGTGGTAGGCGTGATAGCAGAAGAGTGGACAAGCCTTCCCTGGAGCTTCAAGGAAGCTGTGTTTGTCTCAGTTCGGTTCATTGAAGAACTGCCTTTTAAACTGGAGAGGGGGAAAAATAGATGCCTTGAGGCAAATAGGGAAGTGAAGGGAAGAAAGAAGTCTTTGCAGGCAGACAACCACATATGTAAGGGCAGGAAATTGAGTTCTAAATGAATTTAATGGGAAAAAAGGAACTTAGAACTTTCTTTCATGGACCCCACTGGAAATATAAAAGATGTGTAAGAGAAAATATCTGTCCTCTAACATCTTACACCTTCCCAAGATTTGAAGCAACAAGAGATCTCTTCAAACTCTGAGGATGCTTGAACCTGATGCTGTCCAATATGGTAGCCACTAGACACACGTGGCTGTTTGGTTCTTGAAATGTGGCTGGTTTGAATCAAGTGTGCTGTTAAGTGTAAAATACCAAAATTTGGAGATATCACAAAAAGACAAATTATTTCATTAATAATTTTTATATTGATTACATGTTGAAATGTTTTTGGTATATTGAGTTACATAGAACACATTATTAAAATCAATTTTACCTGTTTGCTTTCACTCCTCTCAAAGGGGCTGATACTAAGTTTAAAACGCTATCTGTGATCTGCCTTGTGGCTGGCCTTGCCTCCCTTGCAGACAGTGCTGTTTATAGGCCGCTGTGGCAATGGCCCAGGAGAGCCTGTGGCACGAGCCTTGTGGATGGGAAAGAAGGAAGGGGGCTCAGACATGTTGAGAGGGCCACAGCCCATGTGCTTTCCTGGACCCTCACTCTGTGCTGAGGGATTCTAGTGTAGGGTTTGCGGGAAGCTGAGCTTCCCCCACTGGAAGCTTTTTAGTTCAGAATTCTTTCCATTTGCTTCCCTTTTGCTTCTAATATTGTAGCATGGGTAGAAGAAAAAAGAAAGGCTCTGCTTTGAGAAAGGAAAGGCTACTTGGTAATAGAGGGGAAGCCTATCTAACTTCTTTAGAAGAGTTGAGCCTGGTTCTGGACACATTCCATTTGCTTGCTGGAAGGTCTGGGAGTCTAACAAATTCCTATCAGGCTATATGATTTGGGTCTTCATTGGGTATACGTTAGGGCAACCCGTTTCTTTTTTCTTGACTTGTAAGAGACTGGAACTAAGTTTTATTGAGCTGAAAAAAGAAATAGAAATGTCCTGGGCCTGAAGACTATGTATTGATCCACAATTGGAGGGACTGACAACACCAGCTCCTGGAGGTCGTCTGAGTTGTTGACCAGCCTCTGAAATGGGGTGCCGAGCCTATCTTAGTCTCTCGTACAAATTGCTCTGCAACCTTGCCAAAGATAACAGCGTCTCTCTGTCTTTATATCTTATTGGTTAACCAATTTCCAGATCTGAATAGCCAGGGTGCTCTGTAGATATACTTTAAAACATTTTAAAAGTATACCATCAATAAAAACATCATGCTTTTTAAGGTAGAAAGCACTTTGGAGGAGAATAATTGATTGTGTTCCAGGACCTCTGGGTGGAACTGAAATATTAATAGAAGAGGACATTGCCCAATTCTGGGAATGTTGAAGCAGGTGGAAATGAGCTCCAGGCACAGGATCTTTCATGCCCCCTTCAGGTTACTCTAGACAGTTAAAGCAGATGTGGTCTGAACTATCTCCACACAGCAGACCTGGCCAGGCTGGCTAGCCCTCCTAAACAAAGACATTGTGTGGAGTTTTAGGGATGAACTCTCTTTTAGTTTGTTAGGTGGCCATAACAAAATACCGTAAATCGGGTGGCTTAAACAGCAGGAATGTATTCTTGCATAGTTCTGGAGGCTGGAAGTATGAGATCAAAGTGTTCGTAGGGTTGGTTCCTTGGAGAGTTTTGAACGTGAATCTGTTTCATGCTTCTCTCCCTGGCTTCTGGTGGTTTGCTGGCCATCTTTGGCATTCCTTGGCTTGCAGACTCATCATCTAGATCTCTGCCTTCATGTTCACATGATATTCTCTCTGTGTGCATGTGTGTGTGTACATTTCTCCTTCTAAGGGCTCCAGTTATATTAAATAAGAGCCCACTCTAAATCACTGTAACTTGATTACTTTTTGTTTTATGGTGGGCAGGTCTATGCGAACCAACCCCAAAGTCCAAGGAAGCTCAGAGGCTAAAGAAAGAGGCTGACAAATCTAGTTTCTTAGAAAGAACTGGGACTTATGAACAGAAGACACGTCCGTGTCTCGGGGGATGGTGAAACAAGATGCTGGACCCCTGTGCCATTATCCCCAGACCCACGGCTTATATACCATTAAAAAAAGGGATGGTTCAGAAGGGACGTGTAGGACAACTGAGGTCTGATAACATCAAGGTTGTTTTACCTAAGGGCGAGATTTACAGTTAAGTACCTAATTTTACAAAAGGAAATGTAATCCCAGCACTTTGGGAGGCCGAGGCGGGTGGATCATGAGGTCAAGAGATCAAGACCATCCTGGTCAACATGGTGAAACCCCGTCTCTACTACAAATACAAAAAATTAGCTGGGCATGGTGGCGAGTGCCTGTAATCCCAGCTACTCGGGAGGCTGAGGCAGGAGAATTGCCTGAACCCAGGTGGCGGAGGTTGCAGTGAGCCGAGATCGTGCCATTGCACTCCAGCCTGGGTAACAAGAGTGAAACTCCGTCTCAAAAAAAAAAGGGAACAATAGATAAACTAGAAATCTTAGAGACCTTCCTGGAACTGTGGTTAATCAGAATCCAACATGGTTGATTAGCATCCAAGATGGAGTCACTTTAACCTCCACACTTCTGTAAAGAACTTGTCTCCAGATAATCTTACATTTGGAGGAGTTGGGGATTAGGACTTTAACATATAAACACATAAACTTGAGAGAGAAACAATTTGACCCATAACAAACTCAATTCAAGGAAAGTATTGATACCTTTTGCCTTATATTACTTTTATATGTACATAGTGTGCTCATTGAGTAACCTCCCGCTGTTGATGGATCCATGTGAACTGATGTTACTTTTCTATAACTGCTACATTTGTTTTCTTTTAAACATCTTTTACTCTGTAGGTCCTCATACCTTGAGCACATCCTACACCGATTCTATGACTTATCACTTATTAAACCTGCCTCATTTGGTTATTATGATTCTCAGCTGGGGGAATAACAAAGAAGGGGCTTTGTTTCTGCTGGTATAGCTGGTATCATGGATACTGTACAGGGCCTCCCAAATGAAACAACTAAAATACTATCTTTTTAACAGTATAAACATCTTTTTAAATGCACCATTGAGCTGGAATGAAAGTAAGACACTGTCAGAGATTTTCTTTTCCATCACGCTTTTTATTTTGGAATAACTTTAGATCTACAGAAAAGTTGCAAATTTCCATCAACTTTTCAGGCAAAGTGAGGATGATGGGGAGGAGAAAAGTAATGTTGCCATTTGGGGAACTCAGTGGCCTCTGAGCTCTTTGCTGAAGAGCAAAGAATCCAGGGTTTAATTACAACTGGGAGGATCAGCAAAGAATTTTTATAAGGGTGGAATTCAAGTAGGGTTTTGAAGAACCCCAATAGGGCTAGAACTCCAATAGGTAGGAAAAGGCCTTGCAGAATAAGGGACCCATATAATCAATGCCCAGAAAGTAGGGAAGAGGATGGTGCATTCACCCTGTTTATATCGTGTCTGGACAGGAGCTGGCAGCAGGTAAATGTTTGTAAGTGTGCAGGGTCTGGTTGCTGGTAGAGTGTGTGATAGCAGCAACCTCTTCTTTCATGCCAGGCTTCTGCTTTGTGCTTTGTATACTTTCAGAAACTTAGTCTTCAAACCAGTCTTTTGAGGCTAGGTACTACTAGAATCCCCATTTTAGGGATGATACAACTGAGGCTTAAAGACAATCTATAGTGATAGAGCTGGGATTAGATGCAGGCCTGTCTGTAATTTATGCCAGGAGTAGGGGATTCAACAGGGCTGAGGAAAATGAAAAAGCCAAAAGTGCGAGCTGAGAATTTTGGAAAGGGAGTCAGCAGATCTGAAGAAATGCTGGGTCTGTGTTTGTGACAAGGGAAGTCATGAGTCTGTTGACTTTGGGGGTTTAGTGCCTTTTTGGAATGAAAAGTTCATAATGAAAGTTCTGCTTGACAGATGATAATGGCTCTAGAGGGAATCATGAGGAAAGACAAGTGCGTACTCTGCATTTATCCTAAATGCAGTTTCTGGAGAAAGAAGAATGGCATGAGGTTTGTCATCTTGTCTCTTGGGGAGATATCCCGTGGTGTGTGCAGTAATGGGCTGATAAGCTAGCTCTCCGACAAACCACAAACACCCATGCACACATGCACACCTTGACAAACCACATACACACATGCACACCTTGACAAACCACATACACACATGCACACATGCACACCTTGGCAAACCACATACACACATGCACACCTTGACAAACCACATACACACATGCACACATGCACACCTTGGCAAACCACATACATGCACACCTTGACAAACCACATACACACATGCACACCTTGACAAACCACATACACACATGCACACATGCACACCTTGGCAAACCACATACACACATGCACACCTTGACAAAACACATACACACATGCACACATGCACACCTTGGCAAACCACATACACACATGCACACCTTGACAAACCACATACACACATGCACACCTTGACAAACCACATACACACATGCACACATGCACACCTTGGCAAACCACATACACACATGCACACCTTGACAAACCACATACACACATGCACACATGCACACCTTGACAAACCACATACACACATGCACACCTTGACAAACCACATACACACATGCACACATGCACACCTTGGCAAACCACATACACACATGCACACCTTGACAAACCACATGCACACATGCACACCTTGACAAACCACATACACACATGCACACATGCACACCTTGACAAACCACATACACACATGCACACATGCACACCTTGACAAACCACATACACATGTGCACACGCACACCTTGACAAACCACATACACACATGCACACCTTGACAAACCACATACACACATGCACACATGCACACCTTGACAAACCACATACACACATGCACACATGCACACCTTGACAAACCACATACACATGTGCACACACGCACACAAACCACATACACGTGCACACACGCACACCTTGACAAACCACATACACACATGCACACCTTGACAAACCACATATACACATGCACACATGCACACCTTGACAAACCACATACACACATGCACACATGCACACCTTGACAAACCACATACATACATGCACACATGCACACCTTGACAAACCACATACATACATGCACACCTTGACAAACCACAAACACCCATGCACGCATGCACACTTTGACAAACCACAAACACCCATGCACGCATGCACACCTTGGCAAACCACATACACACATGCACACCTTGACAAACCACATACATACATGCACACCTTGACAAACCACAAACACCCATGCACGCATGCACACTTTGACAAACCACAAACACCCATGCACGCATGCACACCTTGGCAAACCACAAACACCCATGCACGCATGTACACCTTGGCAAACCCCATACACATATGCACACATGCACACCTTGACAAACCATATACATACATGCACACATGTACACCTTGGCAAACCACATACACACATCCACACATGCACACCTTGGCAAACCCCATACACACATGCACGCATGCACACCTTGACAAACCACAAACACCCATGCACGCATGCACGCCTTGGCAAACCACAAACGCCCATGCACGCATGCACACCTTGGCAAACCCCATACACATATGCACACATGCACACCTTGACAAACCACAAACACACATGCACACATGCATACCTTGACAAACCACATACGAACATGCACACCTTGATTTGCAGTACTGTTTGCTAAGTTCATGGTGTATGTGCTCCTTCCATGGCTAATTTCAAGGTACCAACATGATGTCATGGATTTGGGAAGAGATGTACACAGCCAGTCCGACAGCCTCTGCAAGCAGGGCTCAGCACACTCCCGGGTTACAGCACATGGTGGGCTTGCAGCCTGGGGCAGGCGGTTGCTGGAAGGATGGGGAAATGCGTTGCTCCTCCCTCCAATGTCCTCTTTTCTGACAGATGGTCCTCTTTTCCTCTGCGGAGGTATAAAAAAAGAGATGATGTGAGACTGCAAACAAGAGCAAAGGTCTAAGAAATCAACCCCCTTTGGCCCACTAAAGGCCCATCTCCTAATGCCTGCCTGAGTACACTCAAGAAATAACAGTTGAAATGAACGAAAGCATGAACAAATGAACCTGCCTCTGAGAGGCTCCATTTCTCCCTTAATGTGGAGTTGAGCCGAGTCTGCTAATTTCCTTCCAGGGCTGGGATGCATGTCCAGGAAACTCAGGCCAGGCGGTATGCTGCAGCAATACAGAGAACAGTTCTGGAGAGGGGCCATCTGGCCTACCATTTATTAGCTGTGTGACCCCAGACAAGTCACTCACCAACTGTCAGCCTCAATGTCCTCACCTGTACAATGGTGGTAAAGTACCTACTTCACCGGGCTGGTGTGAGGGTTCAGTTATTATCCAGAAAGTGCTTAGAGCCATGCCAGGCACATAGTAAGTGTCAGATGAGTGTCATTGTCATGATCATTATCATCTGTAATTATTGCTGTCAGTTGCTGGTTTTTCCTTTCTATGTAAATGCTAGCTACAATTAGCATGCACCAGTGACTATTTATTTTTATACTTTAAAAAGTACCCTAGGTTTAAAATACCTTCTCAATTTGAATATTCCTCAGTATAACTGTTCCCTGCCTGGGACTCAGAGTTGGCCATCATAGCCTGGCCATTTGACAAAATGTGAAGCTCTGGGCATTTGATAAAAACATTTGAGCATGTAAAAGAGTGATTGAAGTTTATCAAAGAGCACTGAGCTCAGCAGCATTTCATAAATATGCAGACATATCAATTTCTTGTGGTTATAGTGAGGGTTGAGGGGATAATCTGGATAAAATCTACCAATACTTCCCAGGCCTTATTTGGTCAGGGGCTTCACTATCATTCCTCATTTAGGCATTACAATTTTTTTCTAACCTAGAGCTACAAATGGATGTTTTAGTGGCTGGCTGGGTAGGGTCCTCCCCTCGCCTGCTGTGTTGTGTCCTGGGGGTTCTCTAATTAGCAGCAGCCTCAGGAGCCTGGAGATTCCCCACCTGGGACAAACATCCAGTGGGCAATCGAGAGTTAACTTCACCCGGAAGGAAACTCACATCTCATTACCAAGATACCTGGAGAACACTCTCATTGAACAAGAACAGGTAGTTGGATCATAGCTAAACTAGCCGAGGAGTTCTGCGCATGACATCCAGAGGCCCCGAGGGGAGCAAGGGCCACTATCCTGGCTTAGATGAAGCCAAGCACAGCACGTCAATTTCTTCCATATTCTTCTGCCCTGATTGCTACCTGCCATCCACCCCTCATTGTTCTAGAAACACCTCTGGGTACCCTTCATGGACAGACTGTGCCTAATGTGTTCTACAAGTATATTTTATATTCCCAGAGTCATAACATATGAGGATCTAAATGTCCCTCAGAGTCATCCGGCTTTATCTGATGCCTGATTTTTCCACATAAGATCCCTCATAGCGAGCACCCAGCTTTTGCCCCCATATATCTAGTGTTGAAGAACTCAGCTTCCTGAGAAGGCTGCTTCAATTTGCAGACAACTCATTGTTAATACTTGGTTCTACATAGAGAAGTCTTTCAGCGCACACACCCGCTCCCCGCAAGCTTCTCAGTACTCTGGAACACACAAGATGACTTTAATCCCTTTTCTACAAAACAGACTTTGAATTACTGAAGACGGCCATCTTATTCCTCTTTGTCTTCCCTTAGCAAGCGAGACAGTTGCTTCATTTGGTTTTCATATAGCTTGGGTTTATGCTTCCTTGCCCTGCTAGTGTTTTTCCCTGAGATATATCTCAGATTGAATACTTGACTCTTTAAATATGGAAATCAGAAATGAATGCAGAATTCTGACTCATCGGAAATATGTTTAGACTCTGATTCTTCCACATCATCCCTGCACTATCACACCTATCTCTCGTGGAAGTAATGTGCATGCTCTTTGTAAGTCATTGGGAAAAATATTGAGTTCACACACAGGGTGGTGAACTATTTCTCTGGCAGAACACTGGGGCACCAGGAACCCCTTACCAGGTTTGATATCAGTCCATTAATGGGTATTCTTTGGATAAAACTTCTGAACAGTTAAAAACCCACTAAAACGTTCAGAGATTCTACAAGGGTATCACTGAAGACATGGCCACTTGTTTTGCTGAAGTCCACACGCCTGAAAGGAAATGTGTGTCCATTGTCTTTATCTGCCAGCTCCCTACTGAGGAATGGAAGTGGGCTGGACTAACAGGACTTGTTCTTGTGAGCCCATGCTGGGTCCTACAATCACTTCTTTGTCATTTGGGCGCCCATTATAACACTGCGTGGGTAATGATTCTGGAATCTTGTCGGAGATCCGTATCAAGCTCAATCATCTGTAGTTTACAGAATCCATTTTCTATCCATTTTAGAAAATTGGAAAGATAGTGGCTCATTTCCAGCCTTCTAAGGTCTCTTGAGGTCTTGCCAAACAACAGGCCCATCCTAATCCTCGATCTCAAACTAGTCCCAAATATAGCTGAAAGCTATTTTGGTTTTATTTTTTGCCTTTTTGTTTCTTTGCTAGCTTTAGGTCTTTTTTTTTTTTTTTTTTTTTTTTTTTCAAAATTCTATCTGTGTCACTTTCTTCCACACTTTTTGTGTCCGTCTTCCTTTTCTGTCCTTTAAAACCCAGGTTTCCAGAGCAGTCATCTTCAGGTAAGGCTGAATATTGGTCATCTGGGGAGATTTTTATAATTGCTCATGCTGGTTTCCCACCCTAGGCAAACTGGATACAACTTTGAGAAGTAATAGAAGTGTTTGTATTTTTTTAAGGCCCCACTGGACAACCATGTATCTGCATGGCGAGATTTGAATGTTGGAGAAATTTCTGAAACATCTTGAGTACAATGAACCTTCCTTCTTCGTGCCTTAGAATGATGTGTTCTTTACCTTTGAATTTTATCTCTGAATCATGCTATCTTCACCTCTGTTCTTCCAAACTTTGTGAACTCAATGACCTTTTTCCTAATGCTCTTATCTCATCCTCTTTGCTAAATATTACTTTAACCCACTTGGTCACAACATATCTAGGATAGTGGTTTTTCCATTTGTTTGCTCAATCTTATTAGAAATTTAGTAAGGCGAGTTTTCTGCTATTCTGCTTTTGACTAAATGAAATGCAGATGTCTAGAAAGTTGAAATCTCCCATCATTATGAACTCATACCTATATGCTATTTAAGAAACATGTGCTAGAAATCTGTCACCCTTTTTATTCATCCAGCTTAGTGGCTGAATCTCTATATTAGAGATTCACTTGAGCATTTGTTAAAATACAAATTTAGGATCCAACTTCCCAA